AATCTAATAGATCATCTAACCGATATCTAGGATATTATAATACTCTATATGAGTAACGAGCTTTAATGAATAAAACTGAGAAATGCTAAAGACACGTGTTATGCTTATATCAGTGAATTCCGAACTTTAAAAGGCTCCCCTGTAAACTTGGCAATTTTGACATATGATACTTTACGTTGGAGAGGTCGAATGCTGTATGAAAATGAGTAGCGCGGCTGCAGCGCCACAATGCTATCACTGCAGCGCTTTTTTAAAGAAGCGTCTAATTAGATAATGCCCTTAACGCCGCATTTTCACATTCGTGCAAGCAGCGAGGCGATTGAGGCGAAGTGAAAAACGACGATGAGAACAGTGCGCTCGCTATTCGTCGCATATAGTAAAGCTGCTTCCATACATCCCTGACCCTGACATATTATTAAGAAGTCATGCATTGCAAAAACACTGAACTTTCCACATGCTACTCTCGTGACGTAGGTCAGTTTCTTACACTAACATTTGTTAATAGGTCAATGACTAACATCATTGTTTTAAGATAGATGTCGTTTTTTTCTTGATGCTTTTGACAGGTCCTTTATTTAAAAGATCTTCAATATGGAAGATATTTTATTTACGCCAAAGTCGTCTTTTCTCGCGTTTCCGTTCATATCCGCTCTATAAACTAGAATTAAACCTTTTTTTAAAGTATCAAATCGAGTTCGTGAAGCTCGTACAAGAAAATCTGCCGAAAGGTTCCCGTCATCCTTGGCAGACATAGCGACACTTCAATACAGAATAATTCCATGGTATATTATATATTACTGAGTGTATATTATATGTTAGTGTGTGTATAGTGAAAATACATAATATATAGTGTTCCATCGTGGTATCTACGATGTAAATGGCCAAATAGACCAATTTGTGACCGTCTACCAAGAACTTCCGGCTATACACCGGCCTGGCAAATTAAAGGCGTCTTCAAATTAGACGCATAGCGCTTTTGTAGCGCTGCAGTGCAATTTTCATACAATATTTAGTCTGCAGTGTCGCGACTGCGGCGCTGCAGCTGCGCTTCTAAATATTGTATGAAAATTAGTAGTGGCGCATATTAGTATAGCATCCCATTGTGTTATTGGAAATTATATTTCCAGGCTAAGTGATCAATACTGATTGTTTTCTTGTACTCCCACTCTGCCACTGTTGCTTGAAAGGGCGCATGTGACATTAAAAAAAAAATTATTTAAATATATTGCCGTGAGCAGTAAGAACAGGCCGAACTGTTATTATTTTATTTTTTCCGAGGTAGGATAAGGCATGAAGTTACAGCAAGAGATAAGTAGATATTTTTAATAAATTTAATTTTATTAAATACATATTTTCGGTTTTGAGTTTTGTACTTACGCACTTTCAACTAACTGCGGCAACACTAGTTCTGTTGACAGAACTACTGGTATTTTCAACGTATAACTTCATCCGCATGCATGTATCAATTAGAGGTGGAACCCTAGGTCAATGTGGAACCCGTCTGCTTTAATATGAAATTAGCATACGAATCCACCCCTAATTGATACAAGCTTTGTATCACTTTTCTAAGCGTGCCTTACAATAACAATTATGTTTTTAAAACGTTAACTAGATAGGTAAAAAGACGTGAAAACCTAGATTCATCACAACTTGAGATTTAAGTTAGATGCGGTTATATTCGAGATTGAAGTATAGCGCCGTCGAAGCCCTTACACCCTGGGAGACCACTTCCGTTCTCCATCCGACATAATTAACTGTCAAACAAGTAGTACTTGGCCAAATTGTTAAGTATGAAGGAAGCTTCATTCGCATCTTGCGAATTTTAGGGTCGTATTCCAGAACTGTACTCAATGCTCAAGTCAGGATTTGAGTATGATTCAGAGCACTAGAATTCATACTCAAGTCCTTGCCATTAGGGTCGTATTACCAGTGCTTGAAATCATACTCAAGTCTGCTCAAATCCTGACTTGAGCATTGAGTAGAGTTCTGGAATACGACCCTTAATTTATTGAGTATTACTTATTTGACAATAATTGAAGGGAACAACAAGGGTGTTCATCACTTAAAGCCCGTTTTAATGTTACTGCATCAAAACATGTAAAACATTGTCTAGTATCTAGTGACAAAAACTCATTTCGATCTCCCATCTAGATGGCGGTGCTCCGCCCTCGTCGCATGGAATATATAAATATGCGTATGTAAAAAAATGTCTTTCATGCTTTCGACATTTAAATAAGTTACGTGTAGCTTACCATCAGGCACACGACTTGTTCGTCCCGTTACTTAATGTCATAAAAAAAAAAAAAAAAAAAAGTTACGAGCGACTTCATCCTCAACATGGAGCATTTAGGAAACCAGTGAGACCTGTTGAAGATGAATCTGTCGATTCATTTCAACACAGCGAATTTAATGAATGGTTAAAAATACGTTTCAATTATTTCCAATGTAATTTTAAAATAAGACTGATTCACAATTTATTTCCTTAAAAACCAATTATAAAACGAACGCCCCATTAATTTACCGGTTTGGTGCAACAAGGGGGATAACACACAGAAATAATTTTCTTTTTCAAATGTTTCTAATTGTTTTAAAATAATAATAACACATGAATATTTTAGTTAAATCATAGGACAAATAAATAATAAAGATAAGACATTAAAACTTTATTTTCCATTTTCTCGAATCTCACTTTTACGTTGTTACACCCAATGCTTCAATTCTTGAGACGGAGAACGAGTACCTATACCCCCTGAGACGGCGTATTAAGTCGACTGAATCTAGGTTAAATTATTACTGACTAGTAAAGTTTTAAAAACTATTATCGTGACACTATTCCGTGAATTTATCACGGCTTATATTATCACGACAGGAAAGCGAAAGCGCTCTAATACTAGAAAGCATTACGTCATATATTTTTTTAACTTTGATCGATTTTGATCAAAGTTATTAAAGAGCAACGGTCCTTATCGTCATAAGCAACATAATAAACAAAGCAAACAGAATAAAAATTCAATAATAATAGTTAATAATTTAATAGCCAAATTGTACACAACAATCGACAATCTGAGGTAAGGGAAAATTACATGTTACAGGGATTTGTACCGTACATGACTAATTTTGACGATTCTAAAAATCGATTATAATTATTTTCCTATGCGCTTTTTTAGCAGTGTTATTTGAAAAAAGTACAAAATTTAAAAAAGAACCGCTAATCAGTTTCGTATTAATATTTTAAAGCTTTAGTTATTTTATACATCGAACATACATATTTTTTTAGAAGTACTTGTGTATTGTATTAATTAATATTTTTCAAAAGAATTGAAATCGTTTTTTGAATTCACCGGCCGAGCCTATATCGTGTTGCATTCGAATACACTCTAACCTAACCTAAATATCCAATTGAGTGCATTAAAACTACGTATTAAAATATATAAATACGTGACTAAGGGTCGTATTCTAGAACTCTATTCAATGCTCAAGTCAGGATTGCACTGACAACACAAGCACTGGAAATACGACCCTAATGGCAGGGACTTGAGTATGATTTCTAGTACTTTGAATCATACTCAAGTTCTGACTTAAGCATTGAGTAGAGTTCTAGAATACGACCCTAAAATATATAAGTAATGGCCGACGATCGGAATTGGGTGTTCCATAAATATCAACTTATCGATACCAGAAGTATCAATTAACGTAAGGGACATTTTGTCGAAAATGAGTTACATTATAATTGGATTCGGATTTGCCGCTCTATCGATCGGTATTATTAAAATTTAGGAATGCCCCATGGTTTAAAATATAGCTTGTCCCTTACATTAAAAAAAGATCTTTCGTCGTGCCTTACGTGCTGGGCATTCTTAAGTCTTTCGTCTTTATAGCATGATAGAAGAGGAAATTCTAAGAAACTTTGCTCTAGACACAATCAAAATTGGAGCAGACAGTAAAAAGTTATAGCCAGATTTAAAAAATAAAAGTTTTTTGGCTCTCCTGAAAAACCGTGGTTTGTCCCTTACGTTAATTGATACTTCTTGTATACGATACATACAAGGAGTGATATTGAGTGGCTAAAACCACTAAATAACAATTTATTACTTTTTTGGAATCCGGATTTACTCCCGTCCTCAAGTCTATGTCAGGTATGAAGCTTCATGCATCTTTTAATCTCGTCGAGTATTGCTTATGATGTCGGCCGAAGAACGTGAATGGACCCCCTTGCTTTACTGCATCGTAAGATAAAACTACTCACCTGGGAAACTACAGCTACAAGCAGCTTGTTATAACTAAAGAGCGACTAAAATTAAAATCCAACTTCAGCTTTCTAGGAGAATTCTTTTATCCTACGATACAGTAAAACTATTTCCGGAAATTCGGGATTCGATAAAAGAAATTAACATTTGGTGGTTTTAACCACTCCATGTCACTCCTTTTATATATACATTTGGAATACCCTATTCCGACCATTGGTAATATTATACACTAGTTATAAATCTGTGGGATTACCATGACCACGAGACATGTTTAATGGTAAAGCCCAACAATTTATAATATGTTTAATACGACGCCGAAAAGATTATCGAGCTTTGGTAAACTTCTTTCATTCGGATTTGTAAAGCTCACTTTCAAAATGTCAGAGACGATGCTATACAACGCCTTAGTCAGCCGGTCTTAGGGTCGTATTCTAGAACTCTACTCAATGCTCAAGTCAGGATTTGAGCAGACTTGAGTATGATTTCCAGCACTGGAAATACGACCCTAATGGCAAGGACTTGAGTATGATTTTCAGTGCTCACTGCAATACTCAAGTCCTGACTTGAGCATTGAGTAGAGCTATGGTTTAAAGTACTCGAAATCATACTTTAGTCCCTGCCATTAGGGTCGTATTTCCAGTGCTTGAAATCATACTCAGATCCTGACTTGAGCATTGAGTAGAGTTCTGGAATACGGCCCATATTTTCCTAAAGTTCGATAATATGATAATATTAATTGGAGTCGTGTTCAATGTGCGATCGGAAACGGACGCGCTGCACTACTTTGTGAGAATTATTTTAATTCGCGATTTTGCGCGGCTTAGGCTGCTGCATGTACGTAAGTGACAATGTGTTCCCAACAACTCATTGTCAATGAGTTTCTGGCATTCGTGCAGAATGCCATCGACACAATGGATGAAGTCAGCATCGAGCAGATCTGCAAATCTAATTTCAACGAAGATGAGATTTGCAGTGGCAAGATGCTGCTGTTCCAGAGCTGCGGCAAAGCGCAGCAGATGCCATCTCGTCGGAGGGATGGAGGCTTGAAGAGTGTCCAGGATGTTACTGCATTCTTGAAGAATACCGATCCGGACGACGTGCCTACTTTCGTGGCGAAGGAGCTGCACAAGTTGCCTCCGGTCACCTTTGACCACGTCGACGTCACCAGGCTGTTAAAGGACATCACGTCCTTGAAGTCGAGTTTGGCTGAAGTTCAGTCAAAATTGGAGGCGTCGGATAACTCCATAAGTGAGCTACGTGCCGAAGTTGCGTTGTTACGCAACCCCGCTTCGGTATGTAGGTCACCGACAGTCTCCTACGTCAACACGCGTCGCGGGGCGCGAAAAGCATCCGTCGGCAGTATTGAGTCGGCTCGTATGTCGCCGGTCATTGCTGTTGTCAATGCACCGTGCCCCCCTGCCCGCCCCTCCGCCTCGGAGGTTACGTCACCCGTATGCACGTCATCGCCCGGGCGTGCATACGCCGCTGTTGCCGCGACTATTAGCAGCGGAACCGCGACTTCAAAACCCGAGTTGCGGAAAACTGCAAAGGGCGGTAGTAAACCCCGAATGCCTGTCTCTGGAATCGCAGGTGCCAAATCTCAGAGGCAGACCGACAGGTGCGACGAGGACGGCTTCACAAAGGTGGAGAAGAGAAGAAAGAAACCCACCAGGCGAAATCTATGTGGCACAGCTCTAACGGGACAGAACTTCTTGCTTCGTGCGGCCATACCGACGACGCAGTTGTACCTGTCTCGACTGCATTACTCCACGAAGTCTGAGGATATAGTGGAGTATATCCGGTTGAAAGCCCAATTCACCCTGAGGGTCGAACGTTTGGAGTCTCGCCACAACGTTAACTTTAATTCTTTTGTGGTGAGGGTCCCAACGGCCCATCTGTCGACCTTCATGCAGGTAGAGTTTTGGCCGAAGGGTGTCAGGTTCCGGCGGTTCAGAGGAACGATACATGACACTTGTTTGCGTCACACGTCGCCGAATAGTAATTCGTGTAAATAGTTAATATTTTATATGTATGTTAGTTTGTAAGGTATGTATCAATAATAATAATAATATGTATGTTAGTCTGTAAGGTATTTGTTATATGGGCCTTAGTTGCCTGAAATAAATGAATAAATAAATAAAAAAAATAAAAAAAATTAATAAGTTTAAAAGGAATGTTTAAAAAATAATAATGATGCCTATTTAGAGACTGTTTAAGGTATTTCTATTAAGTATTTTTTTGTCAATGATTGTACATTTCGCACCCCTCATGGAAGAATGGCATAAGTGGAATTAAGTCAAACATGTTTATTGCTCCATTAGATACAGAAAAATACTATCCACAGCCTTTTCAATTGGAGATACTTCTTCTTCTTTTAAATGTTATGGCACCATCGAAATAATCGATGATTTCGCAAATGTCAAGTAAAAATAACTATGTACGGTAGTTTTGTAAAAATAATATCTTCTTCTTTTAAATGTTATGGCCCCATCGAAATAATCGATGACTTCGCCAATGTCGAGTAAAAAATATGCGGTAGTTTTATAAAAATTAAACATTTTGGCGGACGCCATTAGCAAGGCCGGTACCGCCCACGAACTCCTATCAACTGGAGATAAGATAAAGAAAAATATATTTGACGTAATTCCACTTATGCCATTCTTCCATGAGGGGTGCGACTTGGTGATGTTAAAAATGGAATCACATTTATATTTTTAAGTTCATTGAATGTCACGATGTTTCAAACATTCGAACCAGCACCCTCAGGCAATCCGTGCCAGATTCTCTGCCAATTAAGCCACGAAACGAACCAGCAGACCTTACGAATATGCTTCTTGCAGATCTGCGTTTTTGGTTTTTGTCTTTTCGCCATAGCGCCATCTGTGAGATATTTATTTCTTCACTCAGAGAGGTACCTTTACAGCTACCATCGCTGGAATAGAGATGTCGCTATAATTTAAATATTTCAGTTTATGTCACGATGTTTTATTACATGATATTCAAATATCACATTTATATTCTTATTACTGCTTGTATGTAGTAGTTAGTATGGAAACTTGTAAACACAAGTGCATTGAACCAGTTTGCGGCGTATTAGCGCATTCTGAACGTTGCTGCCTGCCTTCAGTATGGCCGTATGTCTAAAAGCCTAATCATCTAATTATACATATGAAGCGCATAGGAAATCCTAATATTGTATGTTCTTATACAAATGTAGGTGAACAACACGTTAACTGAAGCCGGGAATCACATTTTGACCAACACCGACCGTATACTAAATATAAACGCAAAATAATCACAATATTTTCAAAGTCATTTCAAGAGTGTATTTTATTAATTAATTATAATAATAATGAGACTTCTGATGATTATAATCGTACGAACATTTAATTACAAAGACATTTTGCTGCCTATATTAATATCATTTCTTAAATACATTAGTAACTTCAACGATGCTCGCGTTTTTATTCGACTTATTTATTCTTTTTTATTTTTATACGAGGGTAATGTTGTATTGTGGATAGTTTCACATGGGTATTGATTGTAGTGTTTCTGACTTTTCTCCGAAATGATGGAAATTACTAAGAACAGATCTGTACTTTATAACTTCCGAGCTTTTAAAAGCAAGCTAAGCTATATTTAGGCGACTTGATAGTGATGTTGCTGTTTTTAAATTGCATTTACAGGCTGTTGCTGTTACACATAAGGTAAAAATATTGAGATTTCATTTGGTAAGTATAAGATCCTTTTGTAAAACATCCTGTGAAATGATTTTATGAAGAAAAAAATGCATTCATGTTCTTCTGCGAAAGACCGTAGTAGTTGGGAGTCGGGATCGGCAGTAAGTTGCACAAACAATACAGATGATTTAGAAACATTGCTCTTTTGAATCTCAGTGTCAAAGAGCTTAGTTTCTTACAGTTTTTTACAACCATCAAGTTCCACTAATCGCAAACTACGAAACGTCACTAACAAAATGTACAATAATATTTAAAAAATAAACTATCGCTGCTTAACTTAAAAAAAAACGCAACTTATAAGGAAATATTTTTAAGAACCGTCGCTCTACTGTTGATCCTAATCTCTTGAAGCTCCGATGATGGTAAGGATGTAGATGAAGATGTTGATGATATCCAGGTACAAGTTAAGGGCGGCGAAGACGTACTCTTCAGGGGAGATGGTGTACTTGTGTTTGCCGCCCAGCATCAGTTGAGTGTCGTAGATGAGGTAAAAGGAGAACAAAAGAGCACCGAGCGAGGCATACACCAGGGTCAAGGTCTTGGTTTTGGGCAGGAATATCATCACGATACCTGGAAACAAATTATTTATATTCAACAACAACAAAATTACAGGTAAAAGAAAAAGTATAAAATACATTTATTAAACTATCACAAAGCTACCACAAGAAAAACAAAAATAATCAAATAATTCACATATTTGTTATGCAAGGCTGCAACGTTGTTTGACGCGAGTGCTTGAATTGAAACCTGATCAAGCGAAGGAAGTTAAGATTGAAAAATAGATTCCTGAGGGTAGCGAGAGTTTCAAGCCACGAGACGCTAACCAACTTTTCACCTCACTATAGCGAGGAAAATGGTAGTTGAAAAAAAAAAACAGTTGAACTTTAAAACATCAGTTAATTAATTAAAAGAACAAGTTTATCTTCAGATGCTTTCTGAATTTGCACCTCATCAATTTTTATTCTTGCTTGTACTTATCGTTTTGTGTAATTAAGTAGTTATTGAAATTATACTAGTTCGTCGAGGAATTAAAATAATATAAACACTATTAGTTATCATTGTCAATTTAATGTCAACAATAATAAGAATAAAATATACCAACGGATTTACGACAAATCGCGTAGTTGTACGTGTCCCTTATCTTTTTTTTTTTCATCGATAGAAAAAGTTAGGTGCACCACAATACATCGTCCAGTTCGAATTTCAAAAACCTTTTCCACGCTAGTGTGCAAAAAACGCTTTAGCGCGCGGATTTCTAATGACGTTACAAATTTTTTTTCAAATGTCATAGAAAACCATAACCCAGATTTAGAATATTGAATTTGTTTGATGATATTTGAGAGATGCATCGTTAGGGTAAGTTCCGATAAGACGAACACTAATTATAACTGTTTTTAAAAAAGAATTTTGTACTCATTGACTTACAAATAAATGGACGATGGGTCTAATACAAAAACCCACGAAAAAATGTCTTATGTGAACCTATTTAAACGTAGTGACATTTAAAGGAATATGAAAAAGCTAAAACGTTGAATTTAAATTGTAATATCATCGCAGTACTGTCTAATTTTACTTGCTTCGCTGTCAGTCGAACAAACGAAGACTAAAGCGTGAAAGACGCTCTGTATACGATTTTAACGCCCTATAAGTTCGGACACTTTTTAGCGCGGACCCGACGTCCATATAATTGTAAGTCAATGCTTGTACTCGATCTTTCACTATTTAAAACGTATATTTGGCTATTTGTCAATATCCTTATATATTGTATATATTTAGCAATGTTGCCACACTGATTTTCTTGCAGGTTTATAAAAAATAGGGGTTCAAAAAAAGAGTTTTTTGTTTAAATTATGAATACGATCTAGACGATTCGACTCGCCTTAATGTTGAATCGATTTACTTAAAAATTGCAATGAAATGAATAGGTACAAATAATCGCTAGATCGTATACTTTTGAATCCATCTTCATGAAAATCGAATTGTAATGTGAATCCCTTTCGCAAACATCTCTCGGTTTTTTGTATGTAAAAATACTTAGCTCCGACATCTCTTTTCCGACCGGAGTTGCGTTAAGTGAGGCTAGGAAAATGAAGTAATCCTATTAGGGGATTTTTCCTCGCACGTCTCTGGTGGAAATGCAGCCTCACATCCGTAACTTTAGGCTCAAGTGAACTCACCAAAGATCATGAGCACGATGACGGCCACCAGTAACACGCCCCCCATGACGGTGAAGTCCCACTTAGTCTGAAAGGCGAAGAGTGTCAGCGCCAGACACACGGCCGCCGTTATGCCCACTGCCATCATCACCTGCAATTACAACAGTTTAGCTATGGTACGATGGTTTGGTGTAATCTATTTATTATATACATTGACTTACAATTATATGAACGTCGGGTCCGCGCTAAAAAGTGTCCGAACTTATAGGGCGTTAAAATCGTATACAGAGCGTCATTCACGCTTTAGTCTTCGTTTGTTCGACTGACAGCGAAGCAAGCAAAATTAGACAGTACTGCGATGACATTACAATTTAAATTCAACGTTTTAGCTTTTTCATATTCCTTTACATGTCACTACGTTTAAATAGGTTGACTTGGGACATTTTTTTCGTGGTTTTTGTATTAGACCCGAAGTCCATTTATTTGTAAGTCAATGATTATATATAAAATAAGTGCGCATTTGACCTCCATCTCACCTGACGGAAAATAACGATGAGGTCGGAGTATGCATATCTAAGTATTGCCTATTCACCCTATAAACATTTTTTATAAAAACTGGCAGCCCTGCAAATGCCATTAAACTCCGTTATTCAAAAAAGACAGAGTATAGTTTGTCTACATCCGCCCGGCCGGGGATCGAACCCGGGACCTCAGAGATGGCAACACCATGAAAACCCGTGTGCGAGCCATTCAACCACGTTGGTAGTCCAATTGAGGAGAGACCTAAAGATGTGACCGTTTTTTTCAAGGGTATCTCCAAATGGTTATTGCTTGATTTACCTTGGTTTGACAATTAGCCTACTATAATAGAATCGAAATCATTTTTTATACTTTTGAATAAAAACATGTGGATTCGATTATCCTCAGTGAATTAAAATAAAAACTTCAAAATATGTCTCCTTGCATTTCTGCGCGCCTGCCACCCGCTACCGCTTGGTTAGGCGGTTAGTTAGCTTGTGCTCTACTGTTAGACGGAACGTCGTCGTCGCGTATTCCTTTTCAGTGGTGTATCGCTGTAATCACCTGTGCACCCTGTGTAGTGGAGTGCTTTACGTTAGTAAGGACGCCTTATCACTACTCAAATGAGGAGTATTGGGATATGATGCGGTATTACGTTATGGTATATTATGCAAATGATAATGTTAGTCGTGCTAGAGACCTGGGGGTCGATTCAGAACCTTACGATAACTCAGTTGTCCACCGATTCGATTTGATATCGCACGATTTCTTTTCATTTTTATTCACAACTTCCGAATGGAACGTCAAACTGTCGTATCCGAAACAGAACCGAAACTTACCGCATCAGCTTCGTACATGCTGCTGGTAACGCCGAGCAGGAAGCTCTCGGCGATCGTGAATATCCCGAGGAAGATGAAGTTCATGGGTGACTGTCGCCGTACGCCCTCGCAGCAAGCCATCGAAATCAGACACGCTATCACCACCACGAATGCCACGATTCTGAAATTAATAAAAATCATATATCATTGATTCGTTTTATTTATTTTTTGTATAATAACTCCACTAGTTTGTTATAATTATTAAATACAAACATCGAACACAAAGAAAAAATCTTTCGACCCGACAGGTTTCGAATCTGCGACCACGGGATTCTGTCCCCATCGCTTTACTACTATAATATAAACTAAACTGCCTCCGTGGCCGAACGGTTACCATGCCGGACTGTAACGCAGAGGTCCCAGGTTCGATTCCCGGGTTGGGAGAAACATTTGTATGGCCTACATTTATTTCTCTCGTGAGTTTGGGTGTAATTTGTGGTTGTCTATGTGTATGTCCATAGCACCCGCGACACAGGGTTTTCCTAGTGCGGGGCTATGTTGAGTGTGTGTGTTATTATTATTATTATTAGTGTACCTACGAAGATTTATAATATTTTGTACTTTGTGGTAAGTAATAAACATATTAATTATATTGTTATTATTAAATGGGCTTATACTGACGAGTTACCAGTGAACTAGTGTCTCCATTTCAAGATTGACGACAGTATCCATCTGGTGTCATGTTGGTGTCTCTACTTACAAACGGTAAGTAAGGTATGTAATGTAAATGGTAGTATTTTCCAAGTCCAAGCTTCGATTTGAATTGAAACAGCCGAATATTATTGTGAATTTTTTTTAGTCTTGTTACACGTTATTGCAAATATTGACCTTGTATTAAACTAACGGCGTGACTAATGCGCTCCCGATATTTTCAAGGAAAACATCCGATTGATAACCTTGTTGACCCAGCTGTTAACGGTCCCGGGTTAGATTTCCGGCGAAATCAATACGGGATTTTTATAAATTCGTTCTGCAGCTTGATTTTGATTACCTCTCCCTAATTGCAATTCACAACTGGCGGATCGCAAACACTTGATATTTCAAATAGGAACAACAGTTGATTTAAATCACAAATAGAAAGATATAGTAGGAATCAGGTTCATCTTCTCGCTCGGAAACCCATCCGGTTTCGAGACTCGGATGGACAACCCGATCGGTCGATTCCGACTTGAATCAAAATCAGCATGCTGGTCTGCGTGCCCAAAGTTAATTTCAGATTTTATAGATTTTAAGGCTACCACGATATGATGTCTACAGAACGACATTACATACCACGTTTGGTACGAGAAGCGATCGAGATCATAAAGTACAAAACGTGTAACTGTGAAGATGGATTTCAACTATAGTGCGTGGAATCTAGCTATTAGTGCTTACAAGAATAAAAACAATAATTATAACTTTTTTTAAACTTTTATTGAATTGATATTCAATTAATTTTTGTGAAATTTATTTATAATTATAAGTTTTTCATTAAAAAAAACCGACATCAAAAGTTTGCTTATCGACTTTTTTCTATTTCCACGGGATCCCCTCATCAGACCCTGACTTTTTGGCGACAATGCGACTGTTACGGACTCTTCTGTACATTTTATACTTTCTTTTCTAGTTGTCATGGTGATGGTCATTTGTTGATCAAATTTATTGTGTTGTTAAGTGAAACATTTGCGGAAAATAATTAGTAATTTGTGATAGCCGAAACGAATCCGGAACATCATCAGGGACCACCTCGAGAATACTCTCGAAGGGTTTGTTTTCAAATAAAGGACGAATTTTCAAAATTGGTGCACAATTGATGGAGAAGTTGGTGTATACATGGACATTCCTATAAATTTGAAGATTTCCTTCAGTTTCATGGGATCCCCCCGTCAGATTCTGACTTGGTGACAACGGAACCACCACGAGATTGCATCCTTTCAACCAAAAAAAGAATTTTCAAAATCGGTCCACAATTGAAGGAGATATCTGAAAACATACATACAGCCGAACGTCTAACCGCCTCTTTTTTTTAAGTCGGTTAAAATTAATTTAACTTCAGTTTCGCCTGTGGATACAGTGACTGAGGTTTGTCGAAAAAAAGTGAGTGACAATGGTAACGCAACAAGTAATCGAGGTGAGGGTAGTCGTCGACAGTGAAAGAGGGTAGGCAGATAATTGTCTGTTCTTAATGCCGTCATGTGCCGCTGACCAGTCAACCCGTGACTAAGGAGCGTGTAATCGTTATGAAATATCGGGAAATAAAATGAAATAATATCGTGGTAAGAAACTTGTGATTAGTGATTATCATTTAAAATTAATTTCGCTACTCTGGCACTCACTACACTTTAGTAGCAGTAGAGCTTCTTGTGAACGAGTTCGTCCAGGCACTGCCACCTTACCTATTTCTGCCGCCAAGCAGTAATGTCAGCATTACTGTGTTCCGGTTTTGAAGTGTAAGAGTGGTGGTGAAATTACAGGCACATGGAACTTGTCAACTTATGTCAGTGCCCCTCAGATCTTTTCGATTTAAAGCTCTGAGTGGCATTGCAACTGTTATGGACAGGCGTGTCGCTTACCACCTATTCGTCCCGTCACTAAGTATCATAAAAAAACTTTCGAAATACAGACAACTAAAGTAGTTTTTTTTTCGAAGACGTCGGTTCGAATCCGGCCGGATCGAAGGAATTTTTTCTAAGTGTTCGATATTTGTATTAATAATTATAACAAACTAATGGAATAATTTCACAAAAAAATAATTGGAAAATTCAATAAAAATTTAAATGTAATTCACTGATTTGGCTTAATAATAAAACTGAAACTAAATAAGATGTAAAATAAATAAATAACGCATACAGTCAACATAGCCCCGCACTAGGGAAACCCTGTGTCGCGGGTGCCATGGACACACACATAGACAACCACAAATTACACCCAAACTCACGAGAGAAATAAATGTAAGCCATACAAACATTTCTCCCGGCCCGGGAATCGAACCTGGGACCTCTGCGTGGCAGTCCGGCATGGTAACCGTTCGGCCACGGAGGCAGTTATTAAAAAAATCCGATTAGAGGATATGGTAGATCTCGTTTCACCGATTCCACTATGTTAATAACTCAATTTCGCTAAAAACTATCGATTACGTTAGTTATGATAAGGAGAGTAACATAATACAGGGCTAGGTAATCGCTTTGTCTGGCACACTGTACCTTAAGCGAATATTACTCTAATATTTAAAATGTTAAGGTACACACGCCAGCACATCAAGCTACACATTGACGTATCTTGTTCCGTTGCACTGGAGGCGATTTTCGAATAAAATGTGTAGTCTGACGTGCCGTTGTCCGTACATTTTTAATCGCAGTTGCGAAGTGATGAGCGAGGTCATAATTATATTAGAATGCACAAGGTTAATCGTGTAATCATAAACATTCGTAAAACTCGAACAGCTTCGAAGCTGAATTTCAGTAACAATGTAATGCATTGAAATATGGCTTATAATAAGAGTAATAAACCCATATACTTACATAATAGCGCTGCCAGAACGTCTGACCCACATTTTAGTGCCCTCGTGGAACACGAACAGAGAGATAAAAGCCATTGTCACTAGCAACTGCACCATCAGGATAGAGTATACCTGAAAACCAGTCAATAAGCAAGGTCAAGATTCAGATCATTGTATAATTCTTACATAGCTTTGGTTTACATCTCACATGGATTCCAAAGGAATGATTTTTGGAGTTTACTTTGTAATCTATAACTTAGACGAAGTTCCTTTAGACTTAGTGATAATGGGATCACCACGAGAGTGCACCCTTTCAAACAAAAAAGAATATTCAAAATCGGTCTAAACGTATAAAAAAAAGTATAAACTCCTCCTTTTTTGAAATCTGTTAAAAAATTGCTTAGCTCGCCTAATCAATGTCAGAGTAAGTTTTATAAATTTCAGCCTTAGTGTCTTCGTGCCTGGTAGATGCAGAACAGCACTGAGGAAGAACTTTGCGTGGCATTGGTGGGGTACAAAAAGCTATCCCGTAGATACTCCTATTATGATTAAGATGTTCCTGAGAAACGCAAATTTTCGCATGACTTCCAGAGGTTTATCGGATAAAAATTGCCCAAAATAATGTCGGGTACATTATAATGAAAGTAGCCGTGATGTATTTTCATGCAAAATCGAAAAAATAGTTTGGGTTAGTTCCAACATTCTAATGTATATTTGTAATCTTGTGTTGTAGTTGGTGTGAAATTCGTTCTATAATATTGTTATGTAAGAAGAGACGCGTAGAGAACGTTCGCTTTTGAATGGTGAATAATATCGTATGTTTTACTGCGATTAGGTAAGGAGTGGCTGCAATTAGATCAGATATGAAGAGTAAGAAGTAAAAATACGTTACGTAAATGTCAACAAACATAGTCCAGTGTGTATGATAAAGCCATAAAGGCTAGAAAAAAATTGGACGGCGGATAGACTGTCATTCCGTATACTTAATACATCAATAACACACACTTTTAAGCATAAAAAATGCTTTTGCATAATGCATAAAAAGGGTACAAAAGTTATGTAAGATGATTATTGGACGCAGTATTGGAGGGAACGGGAACGGGCAAAATATCGTCGGCGATGATATTTTTAACGTCCCGTCCCGATCCCGTCGCGTATACTTGAATATATTTTTTTATATGTAACGATATTAACAAGAAAAATCACATTACGTATGCTGCGACTTTGTTTTTTTTTGTTATAATGGAATACTTAACGTTACACTTAATTATTTCGGCATTGCCTTTATTCATCGAGTATATAACCAGAAATAGAGACGAAATAAGGGCCATATATTCCTGGTAACACATTAGCGATACAGCTCTTATAAATATCAACTCTCGTTTGCACTGAAATATAGACAGGTCAACTACTGACCTGTGTGTACGTATCCGTATATTCCAATAAATATTATGTATTTATTGTAATAAAGATAATACCTCTAACAATGCCGTGCTGTTCTATTCGGTGGTGTGGGAAAAACAGCAAAACATCTAATTACAAAACAAACGCAATCACATTTCATCGGTTATTAAATATGTAATTTTGCAATTTTCGTTAATTATAGCAAAGCTCAAGTTGACTGATCGATTTGAAGTGAAACCGTTGACGATACCCATTGACGACACCCGTCAATTGTTTCGAACTCGGGCTAGTTCGAGCACAGTTGTCACAGTAATGATATGGCAGAATAATTTTCAAACAAATTAAATGACATTTCGTCTCTATTTCTGGTTATATACTCGATGACTTTATTCCATTTGTGCGCGTCCTTTTCACTAATATTTAAGATCTCCAAATTAAAAATTATTTTATCCTAAGTGATTTTGATCACTCTTTCCCTGGGCCCCAATTCTGTTAATTTTAAATCATCTTAGTTTAGTGTCAACGGAAGGATTTTGTACGTTTGGTATTCTGCTAAAAGTTAAAGAGTAGTGGGCTTATCAGTGGCTAGCCATAGAGCCACTATTCCACTGGCATTGAAAGTTTTTGGTATTCAGGGGCCTTACCGTGAACTCTTATTACGATTCAGTTTAGGACCTAAAGTGAATCAACGCTACATGAAGGGTATATCACCATCCCGCTTTTTTGTCGTTACGAACCTATACTGAACTGTAATAAGAGTTAATGGTAAGGCCCCTGCTCTTCAATGGCCAGTGGATGACACGTCGACGGTGTAGTCTACTATAGTCCATTTCAATAGGGATGAGTTCTGCGACACTTCTAATTTTTACGTTCCACGCCTACGATTTATAACTAATCTGTCAACCAGGTTACAAAAATGGATAGTAAATTTGTTATAATATACCAAAATCAAACAATATTTGTTGTAGATGTAATTTTAAGTGCGACTTTACGCAATAAGTGGTGATAGTGTGAGGCAAGCTATTGAAACGTTCCCAAATCCGAGTTTACGCGGAGGAGGTGAACAGTGTCGAAGTGTTGCGTGAGGGGATTATCTCAGCATTTTATACTGTGAGACAAAATGTGTTTGTGTTGTACAATTTAAAACATAATTTATTATGCCGTGCTAGATTATGCATTGTGGAAAACGGTGGACATTTTGAACACTTGCTCCGTACCACGTAAGTGTAAATAAAATGTAAATAACTAAAAAATCAATCATTGTAAATAATTTGATTTACATCTTTAACTACACCAAAAATCTCAATTCTTATTAAAGGATAACTAGTTACTAAATTTAGTACGTAAAACATTTCGATGATAATTCAAGTAAAAAATAATTAACATAAGCTAAAACGTAAATGTGAAATCATTGTTATTGTTGCTGTCTCACTCGGCACTCGCTTGGTAGTATTCCCATTGCATTCGAAATCAAGCGTAAAGGGAATCGGTTTATTCCTATGTACTACACTTCCAAACACATTTGTTGGTTTATTTATTTTTCTATCCCATATCCTAATTTTATTTTAGTATGTTAAGTTGTAACATGATTTACTATGACATGTATGAATATGTCTCACTTTCAAATATACAACCTGTATTTAATTTAAAGATTAAAGTGCTGATTAAACGAGATAAAAATTAATATTTGCAATAGTAATTTTCACGGTTGTTTTAGTAAGGCAACATCCATCGTTAGTGATTGAATTAATGAATGTCATCACTGTCATTCCACTAACACTCTTTTGAGAAACAACCGCCATTGCAATTAGATTTTAGCAGAATAACAAATATCATATTTTATATTATATTCTTATATAGACGGCCTCTGCGGTCGAGTGGCTTGCACACCGGTTTCCATGGTGTCGCCATCTCTGAGGTCCCGGGTTCGATCCCCGGCCGGATCATTGTAGAAACTAACTTTTCTATATTGTCTCGGGTCTGGGTGTTTGTGTTGTACCGTTGTTGTTTCAGATTTCCATAACACAAGTGCTGTAGCTACTTATTTTGGTATCAGAGCAACGTAAGTGAAATTGCAGAATTGGGGCCCTGGACTCTTTATACATGGTCGAATATCCTCAGATAGGGCAGTGAGAGGAGGGTAGATTTAGCCGGAAGGTGACCGTGCTCTTCAGTTCATCGACAGGCCATTCGGATACGGAACGGTAACTCATTTGGCCCTGAATTCGGTACGGGATGTAGTGCTACTCTTGTTAAATTTGGCCTGAAGGTCAAATCTGTCCGACTTGACTGATACTGTCTCTCCTACAAAATCTGGACACATTTAAATGTAGGGTAAATATACATTTACTGGATAAGCTCGCTCCATTATCGACATCAACTAGGCTTAACAGTCTAAGCTGTTTGTGGTTAAGAATAAACGTCTAAAAAACACTCACAGCACTAGGGAAGCCCTGTATTGCGGGCGCCATGGACACACACATAGACGATCACAAATTACACCCATACTCACGAGAGAAACAAATGTAGGCCGTACCAATATTTCTCCCGGCCCAGGAAGTGGCAGTTCAGTATGGTAACGGTTCAGCCATAGAGGTAGTTAAAAGAGTTTGTTGCTGTATTTTTAGATTGCCACCCATAGAGGTAGAATATTTTCTTCAACTTTAAATGGGACCAATACTGAGGTATGTACCCTCTTCCAATAAACAAAAAAGACATCAAAATCGGTTGACAAAGCCGGAGTAATCGAGTAATATACACAAAAATAAAATATACAGTCGATAGAACCTCCTTTTTTGAAGTTGAATAAAAAATAACTGTATGTGGAAGTTTCAAATGAAGCAGGAAACGTTAACAATAATTAGATAATAATACAGTAGACGTACCTTCCTAATAAATGCCTTTCTGATCGATTGTTCGGTGAAATCGAATCCCTTGACCTCGCCGTCTTCGCCCATGCCCCCCGGAGCGCCATAGCCGCCCTGGAAGAAACAGACAAAATTATGATTACTTACGCATACAATTCGGTTGTTTTTTGTCCAACACAACCGGACCTATTCACTAAACGGTGAATCGTTTACATTAGCTCAGTCTCCCAAAAGGACTTTCAATTACGTTGCAGCATCATGTACGTCCAAGGACATAATGACGAAGACACGCAAATACCATTAATGTGCACATCCATATATGGTGTCTGTCTGTACGACTATATGTTCAATACATATCGTCGGCTGAATTCGTAAACCTCGTATAATGTGAACTTTTAAGTAGTCACTAATAATGTTATGTGAAAATCTATGATTAATCCTTTATTTTATAACTAAAACAAAACACATGCCTTTGGTCTAGAAATGATATTTTAAGCTTTAAGTACCCGATGTTGCGCTTACAAGTAAAACAGGGATCAGTGTCCAAAAACAGAGTTCGGTCCCCGTTGGTATGTCGCCTCGATAAAGCTATTATATCCACATTTCGTTGTCAAATTCGAGTGATAAACCGCAATTTTTAAATTTTATCGTAATTGCGAACATGGCGCCCGCCGTGACGTTTTTATGTCACATTTTTATGTCATCGCGATCGCCGGCGACCAATGACTGTAAAAGATTAACACAGTGCCAAACATGGCTGCAAGGTCATAGCTGATTTTAAAACATTTGCACAGTAATTTTATCGACGTAAAAATTCAACGCGACAAACGAAATGAAAAGATATTTTTTTGTTTCATGGTTTTCGCGGCGATGATTACACGACAAAGATTTCATATCGTTGCCCTTGTTTTTCAAAATGTATAACAATAGTTCATTACCAAATAAGCAAACTTAGATTTATCAAGTGAATTAAACATTGTCACGAGGAGGTTTATCACACATGCCGTGCTGTTATCGTTCTGCCGTGCTACGGCCACTGAGGTTTTCAAATTTAGCCGATGATATTGTAGTAGAAAGTCGACTGCTGATGCTGTCCGGTGAGCGTTTTGATCTGAACTGCCGGCGTCGTCTTTTGAAGAAAGTCACGCGACATATCCACAATAGCGTATTTGGTTCGCGTGAATGCAATACTTATTAAAAATACTGAGTATACGTTGACTTATAATAAAACTTATTAATCCACTATCTGTCCAGTGTACAGAAATGAATAGCCTTGCTTACTATCTCCAACAGATACCATAATGTAAAGCACGTTTCTCTCCATTTATACAACTTAAAATATTGGCAATGTTGAATGTTCTCTGGGTTATGTAAACTTTCATTTTGACGTTTGAAGCTTACTAGATTTTCAATGTTAACTTGTAGGCAATTGTTAAGTTCATCTTGAAAAGGAATGGAAATCGAACAGTCAGCCGTGACCAGTAGGGCTAGCACGGTAGGGCGCGACTAGCGCGAAAGCGACGTAAAGTGCGACATTTCTATGTGAGAATAGCAGTATCTCGCACTTTATGTCGCTCCCGCGCTAGTCGCGCCCTATCGTGCTAGCCCTACAGGGGTCTACTCCCGCTCTCCGTCCGAAACAATTACTGTTAAAATTGTGTGCAAAAATTGCTCATAAATGCGATTATTGGTCGTATTCATAAAAATATTGTCGTAAGGCAGTCTCCATTTTCTATGTTCTAAAAACTACCTATTCCGATCCCTGATTATTACTGTTTTGATAGTAATTGTTTCGGACGGATGTCGGACGGAAGACGAACGGGAATAGACCCCATGTAGAGAGCCCATAATGTTGGTTTGTTTCCAAATAACAAATGTAGGCGATGTAGATATGAAAAAAAAAACAATTTCATTTGCAAAGGAATCAAATATTTTTAAGGAGTGGTATTTATTACCCACTCTATGTATACTTTGTTTCAATCCATTTTCAACAAAATGTAAACAAACAAGTCACTGACCCGACCATAGACGGTTTAATGATGGTCAATTGTAATGCCAACTACAAATCAATTAATTAATTGAATGAATCTGTTAAACTGAGTCATACTAGCGGTTTTCCCGGTATAATAAAATATCCGAAATATCAATTTTAAGTCCTCCTTCAATGCTTACACTTAGATACTCGTTCGATTGCGATTGAAATATTCGATTTACTAATCAATTACAAAAACTTAAATTGAGTGAACCGAATGTTTACAGCACTATGCAACCATAGACAAGTCATAGATGTATAGATGAAAAATAACCTCACTTTTGGACTACCATTTTTCAAATACAATTTTACGATGCTATTCAAATAAATATTGTTGGAAAAACTGATGAGATATCAAGTCGAAATATACGTGAAAGTGTTACTTATTCGAATTTTTCAAACAAACCGACGTTTCGGGGCCTTTACAGGTCCCGTGGTCACGGTTGACTGTCAACTGTCAGTAAATAAACCGTGATAGGTACGCTTGTGTTTATTCAATTACGACCTATTCACAGCATAGTTTAACAAATTTTATGATATTACAGAACCATGACATCACTATCTCAACAACCGAGATAGTATAGTACGAGGGCCACACTGAAAGTTTTGCACAAATCATAAGTATTAAGTAAAACTATTTATATAACGAAATTCATATGTTTATTCTTTTCAAAATATTCTCTATTACATTTTAAACACTTTTTCATACGCTCAAACCATTTTTTAAAACACAAAGCCCACTAATCTGAGGTTACGTCATTCATGTGTTGGTTAAATGTCGCCACTGCCACTTCTGGGTCCGGAAATGTCAATCCCCTCATCAAATCTTTAATTTTCGGGAAAAGAAAGAAGTCACATGGTGCTGGGTCTGGGCTGTGAGCAGGATGGGTCACAAGCTCCACTCTTTTCGGTACACAAAAATGCTTTTGTTTTGTTCGCCGTGTGAGAAGAAGAATTATCGTGGTGCAAGAGAATGCGACTTCTCGGAAGTTTTTCGAGAACCTTCGCCAGACAAACGGTGGTGTACCATTCAGCATTCACTGTTGTTTGTTCTTCTAGGGTAACAGAGCAAACATGACCCGTTATAGAGAAAAAACTCGCTATGATCTTTTTGCCTACGCTTCTGGCTTGTTACAATTTTGTTGGTCAGTTGTCACCTTTCAAGACCCATTCACTGGACTGTTGTTTTAATCCGGATAGCAACATATCTCATGTTTCGTCTCCTGTGAAGATGTTATAAAGTGCGTTAGATCGCCGGTGGTCAAACTTAAGCAACTTTTGTTTTTGAGTTTGAGAGTTTTGTTTGTGAGTTCGTGGAGTGTCCAGCGACAACAAAGTTTCCTGACTTGCAAATGTTTGTGCTATTTTTTTTTCAATTTGGCTCATATCGATCTTTAATTGTCGACGAATCTCGTCGTAGGTGATACGCCGATTTTCTTCAATAAATCGCTTGACTGTAGCCACGTTTTCTTTATTCACTGCAGTTGACAGACGACCTCAAAGAATCTCATCATGGAGAGAAACACGACCACGATTAAATTCAGCGTATCAACCCCTTAACAATGCAACAGTGCGACAATGCTTAAACGTGGTGCTTCAAGCCCAAAAGCATTTTGAAGGCGAGCACAGCACTATTGTGGAGAGATAGAACTTTTAAAATCATATAAAACATCGCTCTAAAATCGTGTGTAGTGCAAAATTTTCAGTGTGGCCTACGTATACTGCGTTTTGTTATCGTATCTGTTTAATTTACGTTGGTATATTTGTCATTAGTGGTGAATAGATGACGTTATTCACTTGGCGTGGGTGCCAAATAAGATCGACCTTGACCTTAACGTGGTAATCAATTCTCTATGAGTCGGTTATAGATTTTTGTACTTCTAAAGATTAATAAGACACGTATCAATTGCGCAACACAATTTTTAGAAGCGCAGTTGCAGCGCCACTGTCGTGACACGAGTGATTTTGTTTTGTTGCCAATTAGCCGATTAGCGAACTAATTAATCAATACAGAGTATTAAAAAACCGACCTCAAAAGTTCGTGCAATCACATCAATTTGCCAAGTTTTATAGAAATTGGTTACTGGAAAGTGCGCGAAACCGGATTCGTCGCCTAGCGCCTAGTTTGCTACCCTTAGAGGTAGAATATTTTCTTTAAATTTAAATGAGACCATACTGATGTATCCTCTTTTCAACAAAAAAGAAAAATTATTAAAATCGGTTCACAAATGCCGAATTATCGTGTAACATCATGAAAAATAGTCAAATTGAAAACCTCCTTTTTTTTTAAGTCTGTTAAACATTATTGCAGCGGTATGGACAACAAGCGTCTAATTTGAAAACGCCCTTAAAATTGCGTTTGGGGTTGCCCCAATTCACGTCAATGACTGTGTGTGATCGTTAATGACGTTATGCAAAACATCATGCTTGTGGTTTAGTATGAGTAATTCTAACTCTTATTGTCAAGGAAACAAAAGGACAAAAACCCTGTGACGTTTGTACTTGTTCGTGGAATAAATAGTTATTTTAATAATTTCGATAGGTTTTAAATTATAACTTCTTATGATTATTAATACAAAGTTCGAACACAGAAAAATTTAATCGACCCGGTGGGACTTGAATCCACGACCACGCTGCACCGTAGCATTACTCTTATCAACTCAGCCACGGGTCAAGTTACCGAGCTGTCGAAATTCTCCTATGTGTTTATGTTATAGATCTTTGTACTGGCTTTCGGCATTCGTCGCCATTTATCGAAGAAGAAACCAGTATAATGGGTACTTTAGAGCCAATCACGATACAGGCCGGGATTTCCTTTTAAATTTAGAAATTATTTACGAAATCTCATGTAAATTCCAGTTTTCGTGTATCTATTGTCAAAGTCTAGTGTTGAAGATCATAAAGTTACAACCTAAAGAAGGTGCAAATTTATGATAATGAATTTATGGTTAAAGTTAAAGTGTAACACCATTGAAAATAATCACAAATATTGAAATAAAAGATTGTTTGAGCATTTACGAGCAGGACCTTTTAAATAAAAATTTAAAAAAACTTACTTCAAATTCACCTCCGTAGGCTTGGAAACCCGGTTGCGGCGGAGGGGGCGGATAGCCGCCCTGTGGGTAACCCCCAGGAGGGGGATAGCCACCTGGAGGGGGGTAGCCACCTTGAGGGTATCCACCCGGTGGAGGGTAGCCACCTTGCTGAGGATAACCACCCTGTTGGGGATAACCGCCTTGCTGGTCTGGATGTAAAGAAATCAGTTGGTTATTATTGAAAATATTATATAATTGGGAACAATAAACATTTAACGAAATTTTAATCAGTGTATAATTTATTTTGATGTTTAATAATTATATACCATAAACAAAGTATCCATTGAACACGATTGAAATTAAAAACTAAGCAAAAAGGATATTATGGCCGATTTACAGTTAGCGACAAAAAACAAATACACACATCAAAAGTGTCTAGGGATCAAGTACGTTTAAGAGTATTGCTGCAATTAGGGTTAATTATATTAACTTTTTTGTATCGCTATTGATACTTTTTAGTGAGTTTTAACATTTAAATAAGGAATATTGTTTAAAATTCGATAATAAGAAGAAAATCGATTGTCAATGTGGTTTTGTATAAAAATGAGTTATAGCGTTTTGACAAAATCATTACAATATCTGCATCGGAACCGAAACAATTTACATTATTATGGAGAGACGACATCATTTAACCCGAGATGTGATGATGCGAGCCGTCGGAATGTTGGACGCTGGTTCCAGGCAACGTGCTGTGGCTTTCACTCTTAACACTACACAGAGCGTCATAAGTCGCCTCTGGACGCGCTATCGCATGACGGGCAGCGTGGCCGAGCGACATGGAGGACGATCTCGCATCACGACTCGCAGACAGGACCGGTATATCCAAAATACTGCTCGACGGAATCGTACCATGACCGCCATGATGTTGGTTACGAGGCTCCACAGCTCCTCAGGCTTGCTAATAAGCGATCAAACAATCCGAAATCGTTTACGTGAAGTGGGTCTGCGATCCCGAAGGCCGCTCAGAGTTCCACCTATTGCACCCTGCAATCGCAGGACCCGTTTACGATGGGCTCGCGAACACAGAAACTGGGAGGAAGAAGACTGGCGCTATGTGTGCTTTTCGGATGAATCCCGCTTCGGTATGAGACCGGATACAAGACGTACTCGAGTTTGGAGAACATCTGGACGTCCTGAACGTTTGAGATATTGTCAGGAAGTTCATCCATATGGTGGGGGAACAATAATGATATGGGCCGGTATTTGGATCGGCGGAAGAACCGATCTCATTTGGATCAGGGGTAACCTCAATGCTCAAGTTTACGCAGAGAGGATTGTTTCAGATGTTAACATCCCTTTGCAAGGCCAGTTGGGTGATTCATTTCAACTAATGCATGACAACGCACGTCCACACACGGCTAGAGTCGTAACACGCATTCTTGCCGAAGCTCGTATCAACGTTCTGCCGTGGCCTGCTCAATCGCCAGACCTCAATCCAATTGAGCACGCATGGGATATGCTTCAAAGAAGAGCTGTGCCGAGTATGCATACCGTACATACTCTACAACAATATTTTGACTTGTTACAAAACACATGGGCGGCCATTCCTCAAAGTGATTTTGATGAACTCATCTTAAGCATGCCAAATCGCTGTAATTATGTGATTCGTGTTAATGGTGGAAATACAGATTATTAATTTTCTTATCTTTATAATAAAAATGAGCAAAATCATCATTTTCGCCATTTTTTTGTCATTTAATTGACGCCGTTAATTTGAGTTTTTTCCCACAATTTGCTAAAACATCAATTTTAGTTTATTTTTATTAAATATAGGGGTAAGCGGTTAAATAAAACATAAGCATTAAAGTAAGAAGTCGTCCTGGAAGACTGGATTTGGTAAATATTGCTTAAATAATTTTTATTTCAAAAATATTCACTTGATCCCTAAACACTTTTGATGTGTGTATTACAGAAGAGGGTTTACTTTTAATATTTCTATATATAAATGTGATACTATATTGAATTTTAATACATAATAATTAATTTAGTAACCGATTGTGTAACAACTAAATTTTTTTTAAGACAATGGATTAACATACAGCCTTTTTAGGCATTTAAAACATTTTAGCTACATCTATTTAAAGATTTTTGAGGCTTTCAGGCGTTTAAGGTAACAATTGAGATTAAAAATATACAAGACGGTGCAACCCGCTTTTTGTCATTTTGTTTACTTAACACGTGATGTCGTTTATGTTTGTTTTTTTACTATTAATTTTGTCGGTTACACAAAAACATAGAAAAGTGAGATAACGGTAAACTTAGCTTTTCCTGTCATTTCTATAATTTTGGCGGGAAATGGTGACGCGTCTTTGTCCGTTATAGTTTCAAATATCATTTACAATAAACAACGCTGTTTATACTCCGTCCAACCATTTGGTTTAACTTTTTACATGCATGCTCCGAAGTTTTTCAAATTCAAATCATTTATTGCATAGTCGCATGTTGATAAGATGTTAATAATAAAGTCACAGTACATGTGACACCCTGTAAGACACACAATACTATAAATTAATCCCACACAAACATAATAGTGTCTGGTAGGACTATATAACTTACACATTTTTGAATTCTCATTATCAAAAATAACAATAATTTGAATAAAAAATAATATTATTAAATTGAAGTAATTATGTTTAAACTCGTAGCTCTATACTAATGGATATAGATTTTACCTACATACATCTATACACAGATATATACAATTATAATTTTCTATTATTGCTTCATAATAAATCATTTAAAAAAGGTCATCAAAAATATCATTGAAGTATTCTGTTATACTGTAATAACTCTTACTAATGAAAAAAGTTTTAAGTTGTCTTTCAAAAGCTTTGGAATCCTGAGTACATTTTATACTGTTCGGGAGATGGTTATATATTTTTATTAACAGTGGGTGGGGACCCGATGAATACGATTACATTTTTGAAAAAGGTAATATTAATTTGTACGATTACGATTACTGTGTTTTACTGTTTATAGCGGCGAATACAGAATAATACATTTGATGAATTTACAAGTTTCAAATATGTTTAAGCAAGTTATCGTTAGTATGTTAATTTGCGAAAATAGCTTTTACAAGATGTCATTTGGTCTATGTTTGCTAATATCCTTATGCACTTCCTTTGGAGAACAAAAACGTCCTGAACGTCTGTGCAGTTTCCCCAAAGGATGATCCCGTAGGAGTCTAGAGTGCACATAAGCAGCAAGTGCAGTTTTTTTAATCGTGACTCGTTTTAATATACAAAAGATGATAGGCTATTTGACAGTTTTAAAATATGCGGTTTCCAAGTGATGTGCTTATCGATCTCTATGCCCATCATGGTGGCCGAGTCTAAAGTTACAATTTTTGTTAAATCCTAGGAGTAATTCATGTCTAGTGATGCTTTTTGGTAAGGTTTAAATTGGAGTAATTTTGTCTTTTTAAGGTTTAATTGCAACTCATTTATGTCCAGCCATTTTGTGGTATTATCCAAAGTGAGGTTTAGGTCTCTTTGTAACGCGTGGGTGTCTTTACAAATTAATATTAAATAACCCACAAGTGGTGGAAGATCATTAATATAGACCAGGAAGAGAATACGGCCCAATACATTTCCTTGTGGTAAAGAGCCTAACACCGAAGCTCGCTCAGATCTTATGCGAGCAATTTTCCCAGTACTATAATCTGTGTTTTCTATTTCCACATATTGCGAACGATTTTCTAGGTATAAAAATACCCAGCGGTGAGCTATTCCTCTTATTCTCATTGCGTATTCGTTGTTATTGATTGAATGTAGTATTTTCTGTATATATATTTATATATTGCCAAGGAGATAGATCGTTTCTTTCGGAATCTGTGCTATCATGTAGGATATTAAATTTCTCAAAAAAAGAACCAAGTCGGTTTGACATGGCAGTTTCAATAATTTTAGCAAAGGTAGGTAATAAGGCTATGGGGCGATAATTTGTTGGGTCTGTCTTGTCTCCCTTTTTATAGAGAGGCCTCACTATAAGTTCCTTAATTATTGACATACAAAACTTCTCTATCTTGACTTTCTATTTTTTTATTTTAGTGAAGCGACATGCTCTTTAGCTCCGACATTTACCGAGTCAGCAGATTATGTAACGAAGATTATTCAAGTTGATACATTTTGGTACCTGTCTAATAAATTATAATTAAATAAATTTATAAATAATTATAATAATTTTTTATTGCTTATTATAATGAATCGTCGGATTCTTCTCCATACGAACGGGAATCGTCACTTGAAACCTCATTAACATTAATTGTAGAGTACACAAATTGTCAAACGCAACATCACGATCCCAACCAGACAATATTTGAACCCGCTCACATTCACTATTTAAACTTCTTCATAAATAAAATCGATTGTTATAAAAAAATCGAATCGGAAACGCATTGGGACCAAGGTTGGCACGATTAAATCATTTTGCTTTAAATCAAATGATTTTTTCAACAAAAATCAGTGGTTCAACTAAATGTATTTAATTTTATTTTCTTTCACAGAAATCAACATAAAATCAGACAATTATATTTTAAAGACCAGGATCTGAGAAATCAATATCATTATTGTAATACTTAAACAAAAAACTAGCGTGCCAGGCTTTTCAATTCCCAGTCGGTTTCTTAATTTACTATTAACAATTCCAAAGGTGGAAAATCGCTTCAAACAATTTCTTAACCATTGGAAAAATCTTTGAATGTTCCTTTTCACTAAATATATTTTTCCTTGACATCCACCACTCTAGTGACGGACACATATTTTTTTTTGATCTACCACATGATTAATTAACCTTTTACATATTCCTACGTTTTACGAAAAAATATAGTTAAACTGTATGATAAAATGAAAAAATAAAAATCGTGATTAATTTATTTTATTCGATTTTTTGAAAAAATCCCGGGGACATCACTAATTGATTAGAATTCGAGCTGTCAAAAGTTAAATAAATGGTTCGACGGAGTATAGGCAAAAATGTCGCTTATGTTAAGTCTGCGGTCATGACTCGATTTTTTTTTTCAATTCGCTTTTTACTGGCGAACCAGGGGGTCTGCTCTCGTTCCCCGTCCGACATCCGAAACAATTACAGTCAAATAAGTAATACTCGACCAAATCAAAAGATCAATGTCAAGTATGAAGCTTCATTCGCA